AAATTGTTCTGATTGAGTAGGTTTACAAAGGAAAAAAGGCAAGTATTAAAACACTGAGATCTGAAGCAGGGTGGTTATACTGTTGGAACTGTTTTTATGCAAGTTCAACAGCTCTTGGAGGAATGGGCCATTCAAAATGTTTCTGCGTGGTGCCAAAGTTGCCTCATGGAAAATGAGATTTCATCTCCGTGGTGTTCTTCCTCTTTGGTGTGATTTAACAGACAGGAAAGAGCAGAAGGAAGACAATACAGAGATTCTTGCCTCGTTCTTATCTGCTTTGTTGACATGCTGTGAGCAAAGCTGGATATAGAGACAAGCCAGCGATGGCAGATGTAGGTCTCAGACTCTCGGGGGACCCTTCCTCATCCCGTTGCCTTTAGAGAAGACCACGAGAAGAGCAGCAGGAGGTGGCTGCTCAGAGCTGCTGCTGTGGGTGGCTCCAGAAGGGCAGCTGTGCCCTGGACGCTGCAACAGGGTCCTAATGGTCGTGTCTTGGCCTTGGGATGCTGCAGTACTTAAACCACAGGCTGCCAGCGCCTGTTCGGTCACACACAGCACAGCTCTTCCTCTGGAGTCATCACTTCAGCATGTTTTCATGGCTTAGGTGGGTCGCTTCCTGCGTTGGTCAGGGTCTGAAAAGCCTTTGCAGGAACCTAGCCTGTACAAACAGGCAAGTTACCATTTAGATTAGTTTGAGCCCTTCATGTTCTTCGGTCCCTTTACTTAGGTGGGAGGTGCAGCCTGCTTTTGCCACCGGTTGTTTTGCCTCACAGAGCTCCAGGCCGTTGTTTTCACACTAGGATGTGAGAAATGCATGCCAAGTGTTTGTATAGTAATAATATTATAGAAAGTACTTGCATCTGGTGACATTTTTCTCTCTAGAAACCAACATGCCATGCTCTAGAAGCTCCATTTGCAGTGTGCTGCCTGTTTGTTTCAAGCCATCTCCCACCTGTGTTTTTCAGATGCTGTGGGCAGGAATCAGCACCAAGACAGCCATGCCAAGACAACTGCATCATCCAGCAACAGGCTTGATGAGCCACCACACATCAGCCATCTCAGATGACGGGGATTTGGGCATCCAGCAGAACCCCCTCCAGTCCACAGAGAGCTGCTCAGTGCCTGACCCACCTTCGTGCCTTCCATCACTTGAAGGACTTGGTCTGGAGAGCAGCAGCATTGATTTAGAGAGAGATGCACCAGTGGAGGGAGCAGCGAGACCTGGGGACGTGGCTGCCAGTGAGGAAGGCTCCGAGGAGCTCATCTCCTCAGCTTCTGGTAGTAAACCAGGTACTCCTGAGGAGGAACAGCCACAGGGAAGCGTCCCAGGTCCAGCAGGATGCAATCCTGTCTGCCTCTGCCCAGCACCCAGCCAGAGCAGTGCCCACGGCTGCCCGTTTGTCCTTCGCCTGTCCAGCACTGGGGTTGAAGCACAGGGCAATCTTTCTCTGTTTTCTTCTTCCTTTTGACTCCGTTTCCTCCCAGGCTGCTCATCTGGGCAGGCAAGGGGCTCGCTGGGGACGAGTCAAGACCTATTCACCGCTGTGCCCATGGTTGTCTCGAGTAGTCTGACCCTCGTTTTAAGAGGTTTACTGTGAGCCTGTTTCACTGGAAGAGCATGTCACTTCTCTTTCAGGTTGATTTCCCCATATGTGGCTGGATTAACTCCTGCTTGCTGGTGGTTCTCTGCCTTGTTCTGGATTTGCCATTGAAAGGCAGTGGGGACCCTCCCAGCCGAGATGCTCTTGCTCTGGGATGAGGTGTGCTGCCCTCAAAGGCCATGTTCCAACTGCTCATTCCTTTTTCTCCCCCCATCTTGGCAAAATGTGTTCTCTTCGGTTTTACTGGCTCAGTCAGTCCCTCTGAACTAAGCTACTGGGCTTGTCTTTGAAGTCACAGTGACAAAGATTTCTCACTAAGTAACAGTTTATTCCTCTTTTAAGACCTTGCAAGGAATACTCTCCGCTGCCTTGCCAGTTAATGTAGCAATTTTCAACTTAAGCTACTTTTCCAAGCTCCGTAACAGTTGCTAAAATGGAGCTATTTATAATGGAAGCTGGTGGCAACCCTAATGATGCTCTTCAGTAACGACTGTGGGTTTCTTTATAGAGGAAAGCTGGAAAGAATACAGTTGCTTTTCTGTACTTGGGGTCTTTCTGGCATGCTCTTTCTTGAGGTTTGGGGTTTTTTTTCCATTCCTTTTTCTTTCTCTAAGGAATTTCTTTTCCTCTCATTTTATTTCATGCATTTGCCACTTCTGCATTTTAATGGAAGCCTGTCCTTGCTGGCACTGAAGGAGACCAGTCCAGCTTACGCCAGCCCCGGGCTCTGCCGGTTCCTGCCCATGGGGAAGGCTGGGGTGGCCAGCATCGTGCCTGGGAGAGAAACACCCATTTAATTTCTGGGATGCCATATCTCTGCCCTCAGAGAATCTGTACAGTTGGGTTCAACATCATAATAGGCTTTTTGTCAAACAGCACATTAATCACCTTGGGCTGCCTGGGGGGCTTTCCATGTCTGCCGCTGCCAAATGCATGTTGCGAAGCGCACAGGCTAACGTGCTCCAGGTTGGAATGTGCAGAGGGGACTGGCTTGTTCCAGCTCTCCTGAGCTTGACCTTCCCTGCTGCAGTGATGGGAGCTGATGAAGATGCTTGGCTGTGCCATCCCAGGCTTGCCAGCCTCTCCTGCTGCTCCCTGGCACCACTCACAGTGTCAGCACATGTAGGGAGCAACAAATCCTGTTTTCCTCCAGGTTAATGAAACAAAGTGGCCCCTTTCTTCCCTCCCCAAACTGCAGAAACCCCTCTGTTCCTGTCCATCCTCCTTTCCCAGCAGGTGAAGGAGAGACATTTCTGTTGCCCGTACTTGCTTCACAAATTTGGAAGCCAGGCTGAGAGCCCACCCTGGCATCAGCTGCTGTTTGGCATAAACTTAAGTGATTCAGTTCCAGTGGAACGCCAGGGCAGAGACAGACAGAACTGCTGGGTGCTGTAGCATTAGCAGGTGTGTGAGAGCTGGTTAATTCAAACCCATGGTGAATTTTATGGAAAACTGGGAATTCCCGTAGCAATGCTAATTTGTTACAGCAGTAGCTGGGCCATTAACTTTTGGCATTCTATGAAAAGATCAGTAGTGTGTGTCTGTCGTTTTCGAAGCATCATTCAGTCCCATACTCTCCTCTTTCAGAGAAGGCAGTTAGTGTGCAGTCTGAAAGCCTTCAGGCATGAGTTTCTTCTGCAAGTTTTAATAATGTCCATGATAGCAGCCTCTCCAGGTGCACTTTTCCCCAAAGAAAAGCTTTTCCCAGCGTTTCTGTTCATTGTTCCTCCAGAGACAGTTTAGTGGAGTCCTGGTCTTTACACGCGTGATGGTTTGTGAGCAGTGCCAGGTTTATCTCCCACCCGCCGGGAGCTGCAAACCCAAAGGGCTGGAGCCTCTGCGGACTCCCCCTTGCGAGAGGAGCGTGGAAGGACACAGGGCTCGGGCAGGGAGAGCAGAGGGATGCTGGCTCATGTGTGGAGTGGAAGAGGGGAACAAGCAGTGTAGTATCTTAGTTTATTCCCTATGCTACAATGCACTCCTTGGTCCTGCTAATGTTTTGGGAATAACTGATGATTGTTACTAATTTTACAGGACCAAAGCCGTGCCTGGGTAACGGGTGGACTCCCAAGGAGGTGAGCTGGGACATCAGCCCTGTGCTCCCAGTCCCTGCCAGCACCGAGGAGGTGATGCCGAGCGTGCCGCAGGGATCGGCCTCGCCAGCGGCAGGCTGGGAGCTGGGCAGCGATGCCCACGCTGAGGAAGACTCCCCAGCACACACACCAAACCCTCCCGTGGAGCAGGAGGAGCTGCCCTCGGTCAGCTCAGCGCCAGGCGGGTATGTCCTTGTGTGTTTTCTCTCTGCTGGTGCTCATCCATCAGCCTGTGCCCTGGAGGCTGCTTTCACAGTGTGGCTGAGGCAAACTTCTTGCCTATCTATTTAGTGTATCTGTAATAGTACTTACAGAGTATGTATCTATAATAGTACTTACAGTTTACTAATCAGTGTATTTTGTGTGAACTAAAATTTCCAGTTGGTTAAATTTCTTAAGCATTCTGTTTGGAAACAGAGTGAGAACAAGAGAAGGAATGAGGAAAGTGCCATGTGGACACCTGGCTTGTCCTCTGCTGTCCTGTCAAAGTGGAGGGGGTTTATTGCCAACAACCTCCGTACCAGCGTACTGGCTGTAGTGTCAGTCATATTTGGGCTTTTGGCTTTGCAGCACCCTTGTAAGACAGGGAAGCACATCTCCATCCTGGTGGGGCAGTGCCCACCATGAGATGGTCCATGGAGCTTGCCCAGGTCACAGGGAAGGGCTGGCTTCGGTCCCTCGCCATATTCAAACAGCCCCATGCCAACTGCTGCTTTCCCTTCCTGGCTCCCCACTTTGTCCTGCTGCATTGCTGCAGGAGCATCCCTTCTGCTTCTATCTCCTGTCTTAGTTCTTCTAAAAGTCTGTTTGCCACCGGTTCCTTCTGCAGTGCTCCATGTCCACATCCCTTCACCCCAGCTCATCCTGCTGCTGCCTGACCACACAGTTTTGTGACCTCTGACTGCTGCCTTGCTCCTGCCTGCTCTCCCTCAGCAGCACACTTCTGTTCCCTTGTCCCCTGCATCTTCCTCACCAGCATTTTCCTGCCTCCAGGCACAACAGATGTTGAAGGAAGCCTTTTCTGCAGGAATGTGCTGTCTTCCAGCGGGTGCTGCTCCCCTTGGGACTCCCTGCCTTGTGCCAGCACTGTTCATGTGCAGAGCACCCCTAGCTGGAGCAGTTAGCTAGATGGAGGGCGGTTAGGTGGTGGCTGTGCGTTGGGGAAGGACCATGTACAGAAGAAATCGGTGTTTTCACCCCTGGAGAATAAGATGTATTCTTGTGCTCATTGGGTTTTGGTTTGTTTCCTCTTTGGCTGGTGGCAGCTTAACACATCTGTTCTTCCTGCACTCATGGTCACCTTGTCTTAGGTGCTGATTTCAATATTAGTTTGTATTTGAATAGGTTGAGCAGAAACTCACAGCCATCAATATGCACTTGTGTAACTTTATCATGTCCCGTTTGCATCAGGCTGTTGCTTGCTATGGAAACATCATCTAATTTACATCTAAATAGCTTTTACCCAGTGTTTCTGCTGTAACCACCTGTTAACCAGAGCACCTCGCAGGGAAGCTGCTGCTGGAGGAGTCCAGCTGAGCACGGGCAGGTTAACCTTTTGTTCTCTCCCGCGGTCCATGAGTGATGGAAACACTGTGCAATGCTCTTGAGGCCCAGGTACGTTACACAAAAGGTTTTGCTGCTCGCGTTATCTCCAGAGCACGCCTGAAACCTGAACGTGGCGTTTTCCTCTGCATTATGCCAAGCTGAATGCCTCTGGTTCTCAAGGCCATGGAAGCGGGATCGCCGCCGTGAGCTGCTCCTGCAGGGAAGATACAAGTTTTAATGTGTTTTACCTGAGACTTAAACCACAGATAAGCTTTCAGAAGTGACAGGTATGGAAGGTCTTGTGGAGGGGAAGCTGCCTTCTGTTGTGCTGATCAGGTGGGCTTTCCAAGTCCCTCTTCCCAATGCCCATGAAATCCAGTGTGCACGCTGGAGGCTTGCAGAATAATTCAGGAGCTGAAAACCTTGGGGAGAAGCTTCCAAGCTGTCAGTACACAAACTTCAATTACATGAATTACACCAACTATGAAATGCAACTTTTCTAGGCCTGAATTTATCATGCCACAGCTTCACAAAATGAGTGATCTCACAGGTCTTGCAGTGACCCTTCAGTCCTTGTGGGTTTTCATCTTACAAAATTCCTGTGCTGGCTGAAGAAATGTGCTGAAATTATGCAGAACTCTGCGTCTTTGTCATCCGAAACTGCAGTATCTGTAGCTTGAACTCTGCCACTGCAGCAGTGTGGCTGCTGCCGCGTTCACATGGAGCACAGTTCCCTTGCCTGTTGTCCTGGGGCCATTCCTGCACTTCTGCTGTATGGTTTGAAATCAGTGCAGGTGATGGAGCTGGAAGGAGCTCTCGTGTTAGAGGCTGCAGCTTACTCAAGAGGCAAAGCAAAGCCATTGTTGCCTGTCAGAAGTCACAAGTTTGTCTTTTGGAGAAAATGTCTTTCCTGCTTTACTGCAGAGATCCCATTCTCTTTTATCAAGTTTTGGGGGTTTCCCCCCACCCCTGTAAGTGTTTGCAGGATGTATTTCACCTCTGGGTGAGGTCAGCCTAGTTTCAAAGTGCCTTCTCTGGCTGGAAGAACGGTCATTGTGATAACGTGGTTGAGCTGTTAACCAAGTGAAGGTGATGCTGCTGTGAAAGGTTGTTTAGCATAAGGTTTGTGCCTTGGTTGCAGTTCATAGGAGGATGCTGCAGTTCTGCTACTTTTGTTATTAAAAATACTGACCTTTGCCAAACCACTCCAGTGATTCTGAGCACTGGTGGGTGCTGCACTGATCACAGGCTGTCCACGTGTGTTTCAGGCTCACCCTGCCTGCTCAGACCCCTGCGAGAGCCTGGGCTCTGTGTTCTGCCCTGTTTTCAGCCCGGGAGCGTGCTGTGAGCAGGGGCTTTGCCTGGCTTGGAGCAGCCCCGTGGAGGCACCCGAGCTGCCTCCCACCACATGAGGCCTCCCCATAGCTCCGGTCCTCAGCTGCTTGTTGCTGGTCTGAGCTGGAGGTGAAAGGCTCTGTCTCCTCTCACCATTCCTTGCAGCATCCAGCCCTTTCTTTAAGGGCTTAAACCCAAGGAGCGGGAGGTGTGGGGGGAAGAGGGTCTCTGAGAATTAGTGCAGAGAAAGATGATGACTATTTTAAGGCCTGTGCTGAGGGGGTGGAAAAAGGCAGAGCTTATGCCTGTGCTGCTTCAGCTGCATTGAAGAGGACTTAGCACAGATGGATTGTGCATTACAAAATGTAACACATAATTCAAGCTGTCAGCTTAATCAGACTGTTTCCAGGAAGCAACCTGTAAAAGAGAAGGACCTCTTGTTTGCTGACCTCTGATCCGTAGCCTGCTGCAGATTGTCATACATTTTGTTTTGCTTTATATTGGTGTCCCTTCCTTCCCCTTCCCTTTTTATTATTGTATCCCTCTCGAGTGGCACCCTGGAAGGACCACCCAGTGGGAGGAAAACAATGGGAAACGAGCCGACCGCTGAAATACAGGGTTTGTGAGACTGGGGGGAAAGAAAAAGCGCTGTTTAACTGCATATGTGATCTCCCTGGCATTGTTTTGCTTATTAAATGTCTAGGAAACTCGGCTAAACACGCCGCAGCTCCCACTTAATTGTTCACTGTTGCCCCACAGGGAAACGCAACTTTGGGTACAGCTTAACACGATTGAAATGACCCAAGTTTTGGCGCAGGGAGCTCGTCACTGGAGGGAGTGTAACCGGGGTTAGCTGTATAAACGTGGCAGCTTCTGCGTGGTGGGGAAGAAAGAAAACAAATCTTCCTTGAGGCCAGGCCCAGCTGGGGCGTTGCTGGTGGAGACCTGGCCTGGAAAGACCCCAACAAAGCGGGCAGCCGGCCTGGACCTGAATAGCCATTTACACCTCTGTGCAAGGATTAGCCTGCTGCATTGTTTCAATGTCTTAAGTCCTCATTTGCATCATTATAGAGGTGCAGCTTCATCACAGCCCCTCTGAGGTCCCAGTTATGTCCCCATACCTGTAGGTGGTCACCAGATTTGTTGCGATGGTGGAGGTGAAGGAATTAAGCCCCTAGGCGTGGGGGTGATTTCAATGCGGTGCCTCAGGCCCTGGCTGATTTTTGGAAGCCTTATTTGCTCATGTGCTTGCCTTTTTTTCCCCCTTCCTACAGAGCTCAGGAAGCAGCGTGGTTTGTGCCGTTGCTTTGCTTTGAAAAGCTAAAATGAGGGTGTGTGTTTCCAGCTGGTGTGATGGGAATGCATTTAAGTACCTGTCCAACAACAACCACTTCAAACCCTGTTTGCTGTCCCTCCGCAGCTCCCATGGGATGCTGGCAGCCCTCTCCCGTGCACTGGAGCTCATAGAAGACATGGTGAGGACGAGCCCCCGGCGCCAGGCACTGTATCAGGGCAAGCACGTGGTGACACTGGAGCTGCTCAGGTTAATGCTGCTTCCCCCCAGAGCAGGCGGCCCCGGGGGCAGGCAGTGCGTCCTCGCACCTCACCCCCTCCCTGGGTTCTTGCCCATACGGGCAGCGTGAGGCCTGTGGTGGTTTTGCTGTTGACTCCACACGCTTCTGACTGCGTTGAGGTGAGCAGTGGCGAGAGGCCGTTACCCAGCAGCTTTGCAGGAGCCGGGTCCTCGCTGCTGCGGTGACAAATGGCCGGTGCAAAGAGCACGCAGGCTCCTGCAAACAAACGTTGCTAAGAGGCCTCCCTCCCCTCCCGCCGCTTTACTGTCATCAGGGAGCTGAAATATGGCACTTAGAAGAACATCGGCAAATTACTGCAACAAATACTCTTCCCTAAACGTAGCACTTTCTGCAGCCTTGCTCCACACATCCCTTCAGTGAAGTAAATACTGATTTCCAAGAACGGGAGCATCCCCCCAGCTAGGCATGCTAGTATGGTTTACTGAGGTAGACAGCAGTAACCAGACAGGTAATTTCTTCTTCGAGGTAAAAGAGCAAAGAGAATCACCAAACCCCATGTGTTAACAACCCCAGGGTTAGAGAGCCCTCATCGTCCCTCTGCAGCACGGGCTTTTCATTCCAACAGCTGGGAATGGCTTTGTAATTTTATTTAAAACTGTATGTCAGGCTCCATAAACTGGGATTAAACAGGTCCCTGAGGGAACCTGTGTAGGTTCCTCTCTCCCTGTCAAACGCAGAGGTGTGAGATTGAACCTGGTGTTTCCTAAGGGCTGAGTTTGACCTCCCTCTTGCAGAGAGCGTTGTCACAGATGCTTGTCCCTCTGGGCTGTCCCGTTTGCCAGGAGGGGTGGTACACGTTCTGCCTCCAAAGCCATGCTGCCGACTGGGTTTAAATAGCCACTGCATTAATACCTGCTTCATTTTGTAGCTTTTGTAACGGGGCCGTCAGGCTGAAAGACGGCGACCTTGAAGCATGCGAAGCTGTCGTCCTTCATCAGCTTCGGGCTTCCTTACAGAGCACGCTGAATGGCTGCCTCCTACCTGAGAACACGCTCCGTGCTCAAGGCAGAGCGGAGGATGAAGAGCAAAGCAGGTATCGCAGACCCAAACCTTGCCTGTGGGGATGATGAACATTCTTTTCTTTCCTCCCCAGCTGTGCTCTGGGGCAGAGAAAGCGGCCCCGGGGCCACACCTCGATCGCACTGGGACGGAAAGATGTCTGAGTGCTGCTCTTTGTGCATCTCGGCAGCAGCGTGCGGCTCGCAGTGAGGGCATTAAACAAATGCATGTTTCCCTTTCCATTCGGTGGTGGTGAATCTCGCTGCTCCGGGCAGCGCTCGGGCCGGGTACCCCATCTTGCCCATTGGCAGCATCCCCCACCCCAGGCTGCTGCAGCAGGGAGGGAAACCATTAACTTCAGAGACCTCTCAGCCAGTAATTTGTGTGATCTGGAGCGCGAGGCTCGGGCACGTAAGGACGGGGTGTAATTTTGAGAAGCAAATTATTTTCCTGTGAAGCAGAAGATGCATATAGCCTTTAAAAACAATAAACCACCGTTACTCAAAGTGGGCTTTTTCTTTCCTGTGCATTTGCCACAAGGACAAGTGAAAATTGATTTATTTTTTTTTAAGGTCTCTTTAATGCAGTAATGAAAACAATTTCCATTCTTTCTTACTTAGCTTCTGTCTAGACCTTCCTCCCTGTTAGAGGCTCAGCAATGCTCAAGTGTTAGCAGGATCGGGGCACTTGTGAGCACTGAAGAATGGTCTATTTAACTATAGCTGGTTCTGCTTTTGAGGCTGATATGCCTGCGAGCACTAATACCTTGTTGTATCTCCTGAATGGTTTCTTGGGGACAAACACTTGTGGAGTTAATTGGAATTCACTCCTCTGTTTATCAAACTTCATTGGAGCAACTGGAAAAACAAACATCTTTGGCAAACAGGATGGCAGTGTTTGTATTTTCTGCGTTGAAGGAAAAGGCACTTGCTCAAAGCCAATGAAATGATTATTAAAATAGAAAAGACAAGAAGATGCTGAGCAGAGCACCTCATGGAGTGAGTGAGGTGTGTCCAAGCTGGGACTAGGGGCTGTGGGAAGGGTTTAATGTCTCCTGATCCTGAGTTTCAAGATGGGCCCGGGGTCAGAGACGATGGGATGGTCCCTGCCCATCCTCCCCGTGGTTGTGGAAGTCACGGCTTACTTCTTACGTCTTCCACTTGGAACATTTTTAAAAGAAAAGGTGTGAATTAAGGGCAAAATGTGCAAAGGCTTTTCCCAGTGCACACTGACCAGGTAAATTAGTGTGGTGCCTGTGTGAGTCTGGTGTGCATGGGGTGTCCCACTAACAGTGCTTGGGTTTCTTCCTCAGGCCGGAGCAGCGGTGGGACATGGACATGCTGCGGGCTTGCCTGAGCAACCATGCCCTCTTCCTGAGAAGGCACCAGGTTCAGCTCCCGGAAGACGTGTCGGAGATGTTCGAAAGCCTGTTGGCACAAGACAGCCAGGTTGGGGCTTGCATCTAATGATACTTGAATCAATGACACCAGAGGCTGATTTGCACTGCTAAGGCGAGCGGGCCCTGTTTAGCTGCTAATGCAATCCAGAGAGGGGGCTTTAAGGGGAAGGACAAGCAGGCTGTGCTCATTAATCAGCCTTGGAGATGGTTAGGAGGTGGGCAAGGAGAGAGTGCAGGTTCTTCAGTTGTCTCAGGGCAAATACGTACAGCTCTGCATCCCACAAAGAAAACAGTCTCCAAGAGGGTGTCTGTTTTCCACCCTTCAAACCAGTTATTTAAACAAGCCCACACGTTTGCTGTGGTGTGAATTCATCACAAGGCTTCTATCATCTGTCTTTCTCTGTGGCTTAGTAGCTTTTTATCATGCATGATGTATTTTACTATTTATTTCTTTTAAGGAGAGTTATGTTTGGTAGCCTGAATACGCAGAGAGCTTTACAAATAGCAGCCTGCTCATGTATTTTTAAACATTAACACGAAAGGTTATAAACTAGATCTTTCAAACCCAGACAAAGTAAAAAATATTTTGCCTCTAATGTTTAATGAGAAATCCAAGAGCAGCTGGAGCTGCTTTTACTATAGTCTAGTTTTAATAGCATTTGGAGCAAATAATGAAGATGGATAGAATATTTTAGTCACTTACCCACTTTCAATTATAGCAGGGTAACTTCTCTTTCTCTGTGTGGGTAAGTCATTTGTATTCTGTCCTTAAAACAGTCAGTCAAGTAGAAGAGATGAGCAAGGAACGTAGCACTGTGCTGGCGACAGAAACAAATACATCCATTTATAATTGCATGTAAAAACTTTTACAAAGTCAAAGCTCAGTAACACGAGCTTTATGGGTGAATATGTGCAGCAATAATCTGTTTACTGCTACGTGTTACTGTGGCCCACATGCATTTAACATTTAGATTGCCTATTAAGTGGATCCAGTCAATTAAATGTAATGCCAGGATCTATCCTCTACTTTGAAACACTTCATTTCCAAGCACATTGCACAGAATAGGGTAAGAGAATCATAGACTGGTTTGGGTTGAAGGGACCTTAAAGCTCCTCCAGCTCCAACCCCTGCCACGGGCAGGGACACCTTCCACTAGAGCAGGTTGCTCCAAGCCCCTGTGTCCAACGTGGCCTTGAACACTGCCAGGGATGGGGCAGCCACAGCTTCTCTGGGCACCCTGTGCCAGCGCCTCAGCACCCTCACAGGGAAGAGCTTCTGCCTCAGAGCTCATCTCAGTCTCCCCTCTGGCAGGTTAAAGCTCCCCTTTGTCTCTTATCACTAAATTATGCCTGCCTTCTATTCTCTTGCATCTTAGCTGCTTGTTCACGCCAAGAAACTTCCCATATATGAAGTTTAATAGGAAGAAAGATCTTGGCAAGCTATTTGCGTAAGACTAGAAGTTGCCATTCTGGGCTCCTGAATAAATATGGATTTATGAGGAAGGGGCAGATGCAGGAGAATAAAAGTTTCTCATGAGTCCAGAATGTTTTGGCTTGAAGCTGCTCCATGTTCTCGGGTCAGGACATGTAAACTAAGTTGCAGAACCTGGAGTCCTCATCGCTGCAGGATTGTTGTTTCACTAAACAATTAGATAATTAGAAAAAAATGTTCTTGATTTTTCAAGTCCATATTTTGTGGTTTTATTTTCTAATCAGAGGAACACTCTCCAAGTAAAGCAGAGATATGAAGGATGCCCAGAAGCCTTTGGTGTTCTTTGTGAAATATGAAGTGCCAGGAAGGTGTTTTCTGCTGCTCTCAGGAGCTCTGTAAAGCCACACGCAGCACTTCACACGGGTGGAGAATATAACCTGGGAAGTGCTTCCTTTATTTTAAGCCTGCTCTTAACTCAGCCACGTTTATAGTCAGTTCTGCTCCCTGTAAAGGTACTGGCTTCCAACTTAAATTTCTTACGTCAAAAATAGGCTTAGCTATGAAGGTTTGAGTAGTGCCACTGCAGACAGTTGTGTACGCTGCCAGGAGAGAACAAACTTTTCCAGCTTGTGGGAGTGACATGGGAGCTGGACTGGGCTCAGGCTACCTCTGGCGAGCTGTGCCTCAGGCTCCCTGCCCTCAGGTTGATCACTCCCACTGTTGTTTTAAGCTGCAGTTGTTGCTGATGCTTTGGTTAACTTGCCTTACTGCTGTGTGCTGGAAGGGAGAGGTTTCTTCTCAGGCTGTTGGGGTGTATTTGACGCACCCTTCCATTTGCTTACCCTGACTGTGGGGAGAGTCTCCAGAAAGCCTAGTGATTAACGGAACAGTTCAGAGTTGGTGTCACTTCATGGCAGAATTGCAACTCCTGAGCTAGCACCAATTTAACTTGGAGGTAATTTACCCTCTAACAAAACCACCCTGGAAACAGATTACAGCGTGAAGTATAGATTAGCCTAAATGTGTGTTGGAAACTGCTACAGACCAAGGATAATAGTGCTGTGGCTATTTTTGTTTCTAATGCTGCAGGCTCTGCCGGGGTGGAGAGAGGCCCTTCCAGAAGAGAGTGGGGACAGGTCATCTACTCAGAGTAATGAATCCTCATGCAGCTTGTCATGCACCCCAAACGATGGCGGGGAAACAGAGGAGGCAGAACACGCTCCCGGGCTCGCCGGCACGGGAGGACAAGGTAACAAGTGTGCGAAGGGCCGGCTGTGTGCTCAGAGGTGTTGTCCTTCCCTGGGTATTTCCATCCAAATCGGCTCTATTATAGCCACTGGTAAGGGGGATTTTCTTAAATATATCATTCATTGTTACTTAAAATGAGCAATGCCCATCGTGGCTATTTTGTCTGCAAGCCTTGTGACTGTTAATAAAATGGATCTAGAGGTGTTCATGTATCTAAAAACCATCTACGTTTAGAAATGGTGGGGTATATTCATTGCCTTTTACTATAAAGCCAGACCACAGACAAATTCTCAAAACTCAGAGGGTTAGGTGCTGGCTCTGAGGTGAACACGCTTGTGAAAACCCAGTTAATTTCTTTAGATAAGGAAGTAATATATTAGCCTGGTGTAATAACGGCAACGGCGGCTGGCTCGGGCTGCTGTCGGAGCATCCCTTACATCAAAGTCCAGAAGAGACAGGCAATTAGGTTGCAGTGCTCTTTGCACAGCAAATGTAAACAGCTTCAGGCCTCCTAAATTCACGCGACTTTTATCCGCGGAGGAGACGGAGGCTTTGATTTAAGCTCCTTTTCCATGGCGGGTGTGATAAACGCTGCCGCACGAGGCCGCAGCGTTATTGCGGGTTGTTTGTTTCCTAAATCCCATCAGGTCTTAAATCATTTCAGACATTTGGGTAGCTTGTCCTTTTCCCTGGAAGCTACAGAGAGGCAGCGCAGCCGCGCATGCGAGCAAAGTTCACAGTAGGTGCCTCTTTTAAGGGCGGTAATGGATAGTTTAGATCAATAAACAAGAGATAACAAAAGTGAGAAATTAAAGGGAGTAGGGCTTAAAAGCAACCAAACCAGTCTGATCACTGCCACTTTGAAATGTGTTTCATTATGGTGTGTTCACATCCAGGAGTCGCAAGCTGGTGTGAAGATGAGAGCAAGGAGAAAAGTGCAGTCGAAAAGATTCCTATTACAGGTAAAAGCAATGGCTGCATATTAACCTCAAACCCCTTATTCAACTCTACTAGATCGTCCAAACATTGGCATTTCAGTGCTTTGGGGCTGCTAATAGTGAGTAAATTCAGCTACTACATACTGAGCGCAAAGATTAAACATAAGATCATAAACTCCATGCTTATGTTAACTTACACCAAGACGGACAATAACCAGCACCCATTTAATTCTTTGTAATCATGTTCTACATTTAAACCACACGAACATCCTGTCATTTAGCTTTTCAGGTCCTGCTATCAGTGTTACAAAGGTCAGTCTCCATGGGGAAGATCCAGTAATTATATGGCAAACTACAGATGTTTCTGATTTGATTCTTTTCTTTTCTGGAGTAATTGAATGTGTATCATTAGAATAAGCGCAGGGAAAGCCCTGCTAGCCAGGGAGCTGCTGCTGCTGCAGAGGCTGCCTGATAACACTGTGTTTTTAGCAGTAAGGTTTTATCAAGTCTGGTTCAGGTCCTCCTGCAGCAGATGTATGAGCCTTGCTCAGGATCGATCCTGGTGTCCCTGCTTTTGGGGCCGGGGTATCAGTAATACATCAGTATTCAGGGCAGGGCTCTTGGTGATGAGTCTCAATTAGCTTTTGCCTGATCTTTGTGCAGTGGGAGCTGCTTCCTTACAAATGTTGATGTTTGGCTAAATATGGATGGATGCAGGTGTGTGCTCACTAGAGAGGTGCGAGGGCATCTGCTCGTGCAGCGCTCGCTGTTGCTTCTCTGCTCCTGCACAGCTTGAGAGCAGCCTGTCTTTCAGAGAGCAGTTCATCCCCCTGTAGAGGTTTTCCTCTGCTGCCTTTTGAGCCTAATTTGCAGCTTAAATGTAAAAATGTGCTGCTTGCATTCCTGAATTATCCTGCAGCAATAATATTCCTGGGTTAGCTCAATAAAACTTAGATTTTGTTTTTTTTCCCAGAGAGTAGAATGTTTCCATTTCCCTGCTTCTTAACATGTCCTGCAGTCACACATGGCCATGTATTTTAAAACATGGATTGCACTGATGTTCAGAGGAATTAAAGCCACTTAAATCTCTCTTCATGAAACAAACCCCACTTTTCAGTAGAAAATTAATCTTGGGATTGGTTCCATTTTGTTTGTAATTTAAGAGGCCTGGGGTTTAAGTAAGTTCCCTAAACTGCAGAGTGCCAGGAAGAACAGTGTTGGGAATGGCAGCTCCCTCCACATAGTGCCATCACTAGTACTATGGTTTTTTCAGGAGAACTCAGGAGCTTTTGGGTTTGGATCTCCAGAGCTGCCAGAGCTTTTGGTTTGCATCTCCTCACCCTGAACATTACAGCTTACCAGTATTGGGTTTAGCTGTGGTTTTGTGTAGCAGTTTGTCAGGGAGTTCTCTATTGCAGCTTTTCCTGCTGGGGCCCCCAATAGCCTGTGCATCAGGCTGCTGTGTTGGGTGCCAAAAGCCAAGCAATGATAAGCATTCCCTTCCCCACTTCTCCTGTTGCTTTCTCCCTATCTGAAACACCGAAACCAGTAATTCCAGTTTAAAATGGCTCTCTCTGAGCCTGCTTTATCTGCTGTGCCCGTGCAGGCTCCCATAGCCGCAGTCGCGCTCTCTGCGAGGGAAGCTTTTCACAGCTCACTTGAAAGCGAAGTTGCTCCTTTCAGTTGCGATTCATCTTCAGCCCGTGATCTGCTCTGGGTTTCTCATTCTCTCCTGGCTCCTCACCCTTCCAGCCTGTCGCTTGTCTCCTTTTTCTCATCATTATTTGCTGTAGACCGTGCCCCTGGAGCTCTGAAGTTGTTCACTGCCTAAATAGAGGCAGCATCTCTGCACGTCGTCCTTTGGGCTCAGAAGACTTGTGTGAGGGTTTGACTTAGTGATTTTGGATCAGCCGATGTTTAAAGTCCATTCTATACACGATCATTTGGCTGTACAACTTTTTCTAAGTTAAGGGATAGAAATTTGGGGTGTTTTTTCAGTACTTGCTGCATTCTCTAAGGGCTGCAAGTGTTGGTTTGAAGTGGGGGAAACCCTGGAGTTCTGGGGTTTTGATGGACTTCATGTGAGAGCTGGCTGGGTGTGCCTCCAAGCAGCCTTCTGTGGTGGCACTTTGCGAGTGCTGCTGTAGTTTTGGGTTATTTTATTGTGTTACAGGAAAAAAAGAATCAAGATGTTGATTTAATTGAATAGTCTGTCAGTGGTTTGAGGAAAGCCATGTTGTGGTAACTGACTGTAACAGGATTATATCCTGTGCATGGCCTCACCCAGAGAGGAGCTGGCAATTAATAGCAACCTCATTCTATACCAGGTTACATGAGGATAGAGGAAGAGATGGGGGCTCATTCTCATTTCCTTCCTGGATGCTTTGGTTTTTTATCATGGGAAGTCATGTAGAAGAAATTGTTTGGCTTTTTTGCCATTCCTGAGGTAGGCAAATAATGTGAGATTAAAAAGAGAGGATAAAATCCATTATTCTTTTTGTTGGATTACTTTAAGTCTCATTTATGAGTAGGATGCTGGTGATTTTACTGAAGGGGCACATTTAAGTCTTTAACAAAATGAGATTCTCTCTCCCCTTCATTTATGTCTTTGATTTAAATAGATGTTAAAGCTATAAAGCATTTGAATAAAAATAGTGTTACTGCTCCGCTCATCAGGCTTCTCTTCCATGACATCTTGAATATCACCTTCCAGGTGGAAAATCTCTAATGTAGAAATAAGGAGGAAGAACCCTCTTAAGATGAAAAAGGAAAGTGAGCCGTTCTGTCTGTGTCATAAGGGAATATGAAGAGCACAAATCCAACTTTGCTTTCCCTTTTAGGTCACCTTTAATGAGGCAATAATGCTGCCAAGGCTTTCCCCATGCCCACCGGCCTTCCTGGTGAGGTCCTGCTTTGAGCTGGAAGTTAAAGGTTCCCGAGGTTCCACCTGGAGTGTGATAATAAAGGCATTCACAGGTCTACCCAACTTTTCACTTCACTGGATACCAGCCCATTCACAACGGCTGTTAAGATGAGAGTTCCTCTGATGAATCACTATGTTGTGGTCTGACAGAACCCCCTTGGGATCTGGAGCAGGGATTGCGAGCAGGAGGTTGAACCGTTTGGTGAAGTTGGTTTGGATTATGTACTCCAGGAGGTGATATTTTACACTGCTGAAGTTCCTGAAAGGCCTCAGGGTCTTTTTATAGTTAGGAATTCCAGGTGAAAATCCTTCTTCAATCTTTAAACAGAGGCAGCAGCTTGTTGTTTAGTGTGGAGAAGGGAAGGCTCAGGGAGGACCTTAACGCTCTCTCCAACTACCTGACAGGAGGATGGAGCCAGGAGGGGGCTGGTCTCTGCTCCCAAGGAACAAGGGATGGCACAAGAGTAACCGGCCTCAAGCTGCCCCAGGGCAGGTTTAGCTGGAGCTGAGGAACAATTCCTTGCCCAGAGGGTGCTCAGGCATTGGAACAGGCTGCCCAGGGCAGGGCTGGAGTCACCGTCCCTGCAAGTGTTCACAGCCCGTGGAGCCGAGGCCTCAGTGCCAGGGGTTAGTGGTGGCCTTGGCAGGGCTGGGAATGGTTGGACTGGATGAGCTGAAAGGGCTTTTCCAGCCTGGCTGATTCTGTGATTCTAGGAGTATTCTCACTGGATGGATTGCTCCACAGGGATTTCCCAAGTGTGCTGGTCAGCCGGCAGTCTGCTCTTGAGAGGACAGTGTCCTGTGTTGCTATTGCAATGAGAGTACTTGTACCTTTTTTTCCACCGAAGGGAGGTGGGGAGATGCGTGTTGGTGGTTGCCCGGCTGCTGGTCTTCAGTGGCTGCACTGCTTCTGCCACGTTTTAATTTGGAGGGTTTTCCCACACATTTGCTCTCCAAAGAGCACATCCTTCTGTCAGGTTTGCAGTGGGCCTTTATCTTCTCTGTTCACAAGGGTTCTGCTTTACTGCAGGGGAGATCGGTGAGTACAGGAGCCAGTGTAGAGCCAGCACTGTCACCGCTGGTCCCAGGGCAGAGGCACACGTGGTGGCTGTGTGTGTGCTGGCAGTGGCACAGCAGCTGACAGCCCACTTCAATCCTGTGTAGCTCTTTGTTGGTGATCAGCAAGTGCAGCAATTGGTGTTAATGAGGTGGAGGAGCCTGTTCAGATAAAGCTCCTCTGGGCAGGAACTGCCGTTAGTTTCCCATTTCTGTACAGGACCTAGAGCCCAGGCCTGCCTCAGAGTGCCACTGTGAAGCCACTGCTTCAGAGTATGGATGCAGTAACCACGGCCAAGGTAAACTATACAGCCACACAGCTTGCAGGCTCAGCTGGTCTGATAACATTCCTTTCAGGGCATTCTTGGCTTTCAAGTCTAGTGAGAGCCAAAATACCCAAGCCACTATTTTACTGGTGGTAAAAGCACAGGGAGAAAGCAAAGTTCTTTTTGGTGCAGGCTCTCACTCCTATACAGGAGGAAGATACAGATACGTGTCTGGGTTGAGTCTGTGAAAGGTCTTTTGCCCTCCAACTACCTCCATTTGCATATGGGATTATTGATTCTTTTATTCGAAATGATGGCTGATAGCCCCTTACAGCTTTTGGGCAGCATACAAAGTGCTCATGCTCTCCTGGTAGAGCAGCATCTACTATCCTACAGCTTGCTTATGTGCTTTGTGGCTTGGGTTGAAGATGTCAGATCTGCTCCCAAGCTGAGGGGCCGTGTATGAACACGGTGGTATTTGTCTTTTCCCAGTCTGCATTTTAAAACCCAGCAACCTCGTGGATCACCTTTCCCATTCCCAGGCAGACAGAGGCAAGCACTGCTCGTGGAAAGATGATTTGGTGTTGGTGTCTGCAGGTAACTCCTCTGTGCTGGGACTCCAGCTTTAATGCTGAGTTTGGTGTTTGAAGCGTGGGCTTCTTCCTCTGTGAGAGAGGCAGCACCATTAGCAAGACATAAACTTTGCAAGTACAAGGCCAAGAGCTTTCTTACCTCTCTGTCACACCACTTCTTTAGCTGCTGTGTTTGGTGTAAGGTGGTTGATGCCGCAGCCTAGGCCATAGGGAGAACACATGGAGAAAACAGTGCTGGTACAGTATGTTCTGGTTAAAGATCACTTTAACTGCTCAGCAGAACAGGATAATAGTGGTTCATTGTGCAATGACAGGGGCTTTTCCTGGAATTGTTGCCTTATGAAGAAACCTGCACCCGTTTTGTTCAGCACGGACTTGTGAAAGCTGCCGTGAGAGCTGCTCCGGCCCCACATGATTAATTCAAAGGTGGAAAGGGCAGAGTATTTTGAATTAATTTTTAATGAACAGTGGTATTGCAGATCCTCTGCTGGTTCTGAGGGGAAGGTGCGTAGGGAGGAAGGCGGGAGGAGAGCAGTGTCACCTGGGGCACCCCAGCTCCCCTTCTGCTGCAGTATCGCATGGGATTAGGAACTTTCCATTATTAACATCCCAGTTTGGGCTTGAAGACTGGGTTTTATCAAGCTTGTGCAGTTGTGTGTGTGCAGTCCGGGCTGGCTGTTCAGACAGCTTCAACCCGTGCACCCACCTTGCTTCTGGGGTGCATCTAGAACTCAGAGCTGACGGTGCACTGAGGACAATCCTTGCAAAACCCACACAGGAAGCGAACATCGAGCAGATGGCATCTGCCCTTGACCTGGTGTAGCAAGAACTCAGTGAATTCAGACAGGCAGGGAGAGGTGCTTTTAGCAAGGCTGTGCACAGGCAGGAGGCATCAGGAGATGGCCATCAGGAGCCGCTGCTCTGCAGCAGCGCTCTCGCAGCCCTCCTCTCGCTTCTGCTTCCCAGTGCCTCCGCTCCCTGCGGAGTGAGTTCTGCGGCACTGGCAGTCCCTTTGTCCGGGGGGTTCATCTGCTCGCTGCTGATGTGCTCAAAACCCACCTTTTCCCTTTTTTTTCCCCTTGTTACTCGGTGCGTGTTTCTTGCCAGGGCTGTGGTGTTGTGCTGTGTGCTCAGTGCCCAGCCCGCAGCAGGGAGGCTGTGCCCGGCTGTTTCAGCACGGCAAGTTAGGTGCTTCTCACAGACATGCATCTAACAGATGCAAACAACAGGAACACACACACCACAGAACAAAAACATCTTTCTGAGCCGACTTGCCTGTAACCTAAAGCACAGTGGTCAGTTTCATGAAGGAAATGCACTGCTCTGAGTAAGGGGTTTATGGTGTGATGTAGCTTTATCAGGAGCAAAGTGCCTGAGAGTTTTCTCTCCTAGCAGAGGATTTCTTGTATCTGCTCTTCATTGCCCTGCTCATTGCACCAGTCACTTGCACGTTCTCACACTAGTTTGTTGCTGCTGGTTTTGTTGTCAGTGCTGCCTGTCTGTAACGGAGGCTCTTCCTTGGCGTGGGCATGTTGAAGGCACAGGGCTTGAGTGGATCAGTGGGGTAAGAGGAGGTAAGAGCCAGGCTATTGCTCAGCACACAGCAGTGGTCGCTGCACGCTGACTACCTACGTGCTGTAACGCACTTTGTGGGTGCCACAGCCACACAGGCTTTGCAGGGACATGAGCTGGTGGGCTTAGGAGGTCTCAGAGGATCTCCCATTCCTGTAGGGAGCATAGGATGTAAGTCAGTACAGAGATGCTCAAGGGAAACAACTGGACTGATCGGCAAGGCAGTCTGGTTTAACTAAGGCAGGAGTGGGGACTGATAGCCCAGCAATGCGTTACAACTGACAGGTAGGGCAGAGCTGGGCTCTGAAGGGTCTTACTAGTGAAGAACAAGTAGTTTGTGTTAGTTTGATGTTGTGAAGGAAGGGGAGCCAGTGCAGGCATGGACAGCTTCGGGGAATGGCCTTTGGAGGCTGCTGTATGTGCAAAAGCCCGAAGAAGAGCTGCACACAACAGTTTCGGTAGAGCTGGCAAGACCTGGGCTTTGAAGTGCCAACTGGGAAGGTGAGGTGGGTTTGCCAGGGTCAAAGATGGGCTCCGTGTCCCTGCCTGGAGGGATGGGAAGAGCCTTCAATGGGAAGATGAAGTTACTCATGCACAGGTTGCAGCGCTCCCCAGAGCTTGCAGGCATGTTCCTGCTGCAGGGGATCCATTGACAGCGAGCTGGGTATCGGGTCCCGACTGAGGTGGGGTTCCCAGGCCCAGAGTGGGGCAAGGGGAAGGCTTTGAGAGGCACAGGTCAGATGCAGCCACTTAACCGATGCGCTAACACCCTCTGAAGCCACCACCCGCTCCTTCCCAGCTCTCTGCCTGTCATTGGGAAGGAGGAAAAGCATTCAGCCCATTAACAGGCTGTTAATAAGGTGGATGTGTCCCTCTACTTGTGCAGGGCCGAAATGGGAAGGGTGGCTGGAGCTGATGCTCTGTGCAGAGGCCATTTGCTTCATGTTCTCCTTCTCCACACAAGGAGCAAGCCATGCACACACTGGAGCCACGTCTGAGGACACACATAACTGGATTTTGAATGTTTGCAGAGCCTGTGGCCTGTAGTGTCTGTTTGAGGGGCACGACTGGCTTTGTGCAAGGCCTCCTTGAGGCAGAGCCTGCTCCATCCCCAGGCAAGAAGCGAGCACATAACGTCAACCACATTGTGTGTTGTAGTTTGAACCAGTGCATGAGGAGCCCTGAAAAATACACCTATGTGAAGTGCTGGAGTGAAAAGCAGTTTCTGGGAGATCTGACTTGATGAGGTTACATTTGGCCTTTTCACTTTCCCAAAGCAATGTACAAACAAGTGTTAATATTCATTCCTTTGTGGTCAGTGGTCTCTCAGCACAAGCCCGCTTCGCTCCGTCTTGCACTAAGACATCTTCCCTGATCTCCACAGGTCTCTGCTCCCCTGCATGAGGACATCATAGGGAAGGGCAGGGGCATGGTTCCTTTTTCCCCCTTTTCTCATTGTTTCCTTCCTGTCCTTGATTCCGTTTTTCCCCCGTGCATCCCTGGGAAGCAGCCGGACTTTGTCCCACAGGCAGCACATTGCTGCCAGTGCAGCCCCAGTGCCTGCGCTCTGCCACCTCCTGCACCGCTCAGACATGCTGCACCTCTTTGGCGGAAGCACCCGAGTCTGAGCAGGATTTGTGCTGCTGACATCCAAGCACAGCACAGTGTGATCCGCTGCAGCGGGCTCCTCACCAGTGAAAGCAGGGTCCGAGATGCACAGAAATACTGAATGCTGCTGGGATGGAGCTAAGTTGGTGACAATCGGGGCTTGTTTGTAATGTCAGTGCTGTAGATATATACATGCAAAGTAGCCTTTTAAAGCGGGATTTGAGCATCGTGTCCTTTGGAAATGAGCACAAAGATGAGCAATTGTACGATCCCAGTGAATGAATTCATTTACCTCTTCTTTTTAAATCAGTCTCTACAGAATGAGATACACAGAGCGGAGGGGAAGGAAAGAAAGGGAAGCGTGGATAAAAGATTGTGGGATAGTTGGGGATTTGGCTGTGTAAGTCATAAAAACCCCAAGATTTGTGTCTCCCCAACACAGCTCTAATTCAAGAGAATGGTTGAAAATACTGATCTGTCAAATAATACATAGAACTGTAACTATCCAAAACAGTCTGTGTTTGAGGGGAAGGAGAATAAAAAGAGCCTCGCCTCCTGCTTAACTGAAGTGATGAGAACTTGGGGATTAAAAAAGAAACAAGTAGAAAGAGCCCAGAAATCCTTTAAGTTTTGTTGAAAGTTCCCATGACACAATTCAGCTCTTCAGAGAACCTGTGTTTGCTCTTTCTTCCAAAATGAGGTAAAACATGCAAAACCAGCACTATGTACAAGAAATCATCATCAGGCAACTTCATCATAGCAAGGAGGTCTTGTGTTGTGTGGGTTGAACTGATTTCCCCTAAATCAGGAGCAGACAGCCTTGAGGCAGGACCGGAGCTGCATGGTACATGCTCTTCTCTGGATTTTGGTGTTGACCCATTCCATGAACCTACTGGGAAGTGAGTGTGTTGCTGCGGTGGCTGCAGGCTGCTGCGCGGCCCAGCCAGCCTTAGCTGAACACTCAGATCCTGTGTTTCTACCCAACAGGTTGGGATGTTGGTTATAACGGTTCCAAAGCAAGAGAAAGCCAAGAAACACAGTCGGAAACTAGTCCCTCGTCGAGCCAAAGTCTTCCCTTGTCAAGGTAAAGTTGTGAAATCCTGTGTCATTTAAATGCTTCTCACAGCGAGAAACGCCATCAGAAAAGGGCTGGAGCTCTGATTATTTGATTTCTTCACTCGAGCCCGGGTTAAGGTTTGTATTTATGTTTATTTACTAGAACATCTTCAACTTGGGTGCACCTCAGAAAATATTTGTGCCAAAGCCAAGGCTTGTTTTGCAGCTGTTGTTTTCCCATTTTCAGACTCAATTGACATCTCAGTGAACCACGAACGAGCCAGTCCAGCTGCTTTCAGCAGGGCTGCTCAGGGGCCAGACAATGGGAGTTGTCAGGAGAGGGGCAGACAGAGAACAGAAAGTCCTCAGGAAATAAAGTGGTGGGTTTCTCTCCGTGTGTCTGAGATGTGAACTCGCTGTAACTGGATAACGCTTCCCATGGGTTTGGGGGTTTTATATTTGATACTGGCGTAGTTGTATTATTTTCTTGCTTTCAAACCAAGTATGTTTAATTAATGGCCTCACATGTACCTAAAGGGCACAGTTTGGTCTTTTTTTTTCCTCCCTTTTTTTTGTTGGAAGCTGGTTTGTGTGTGTGTGTGTTAAACTGCAGCCGTTCCCTTGGGTCTCTGGGCAGTTCGTTGGACATTCCCCGTGTTCTTCATTGGCATGTAACAGGAATCAAAGAGCAGCAATCAAATTAGTGGTCAAGAAGCAGCAGAAAATGGGATAGAACACGGGCAGCTCATGAAATACTGGCTGGGCTTTAGATGCTTATCTGCTCGTGTGAGAACAGCCTGATGAGTGCTGCTGCTGCTGCACAGCTCCTGGTCTGAAACTGCCACTACCAGCACTGGGGAAGAGACTTTAAAGCTTTCTGATGAAATTTGAACTCCTGTTTGTATACCCCTTTCAGTAGCTTGTTTTGATGCTGGTATCAACGAGGCCAGTTCAGTTTTGTAAGCGCTGGTGTGCAGTTGTGTGAAAATCACAGGATTTCTGTCCTTCTCCAAGAGCAGTAAACACAAGCTGGAACATGGTGTGGATGAATGGCATTCCTTTTCTTTTCTTACCTGTTTTAAGGCAAATTTAATGATTGTAACATTTTTTTCTCCCCCCCCCCCCCCCTTCGTTTTTAAGTTTTCTGGAGCTTTGTTTGAGAATAATGTTCCAAACGATACAACCTAACGCTGTGAAATGCAGGGCTGCTCCTGTAGATGAATTTTTAAGTGCTGGATGTTACTCATTCACTAAGTGGCTGGACAGGGACAGCAGGAAGAGAAGGATCAGGCCCTGAGGAGCTTTCTGCCAGGATCCTGAAGCAAATCTATAGAATAGAAAATTAACTAGTTTTTGTATTAAAAGGAGAACGTCTCCCAGCTTTGTCCCTGCGGCTCCTGCGCTGCTCAGTAACGATGCATTCAGGGACTTCGCATCTTGGATGCTGTTCACGTGGAGTAAATGTTTTTACTGCTTCAAATTCTTATTTGTGATAGATTATAAAATATTTCTGCCCTATCATTTCACACCATTCAGTGCTGAGAAGCAGCACACTGCATGCGCTGATACGTGATGATGCTGCTTTAAAGAAAGAAATCTCCTGCAGCGGCTTAAAGTTGGCTTTTCCCAATGAGTCGCCAAGACTGCAGCCTTCCAAAGGGGAAGTTCAGCAGCAGCCCTTCCTTTGGGAACGCTGGCACCCTCTCTGCGGGGAGGGAAGCTGTGCAAGCGGTGGGGACGAGGAGGAGCGGGCAGGGCGGGCG